TATTAATTAACTTAATATATCTATTCATCTTAAATCTAAGATATAAAATTCAAAAAATGTATTTATCCTTGTTTTATTTTCTAATTATCAACTATTAATAAAATACTAATTTAAAATCTTATCTAGTTATATCAAAATATTTTCATATCAAGTTTAAAATCAGATATTAGTTATACAAAAATATTAAAATTATATAGTAAATTATTAATAAGATCCTAGTTAAATAATTTAAAATAATCAATTTTATCACACAACAATAAATACTAATAGTTAAGAAAATAAATTTGTACTCTTCCTATTAGAAAAAGAGAGGATGTTATAATTCTTTTTTTCCTTAAGATATCACATCTCTTCTATCAATAAAATTTAAATATAAAAATTTATTTAAAAATAAAGTTATCATAAGTTAGAAATATTTATTATAAATATGGATCAAAATAAATAAGAAATTTTAAAAAATTCATATACTCTAACTAAAAAACTGCCCAAAAATCCAATTGTAAAAAAAAAACTCTAAATATTTTTTCACATAAATAACTATTAGTATTAATTATGTACGAATGCATATAAATATTTTTTTATATTATAAATTAATGTCTTGCTCTTACAAAAAAATAAAATGGGATTGATACTCAATAACAATATTATCATCACTTTTAAATAATTTATAAATTTTTTAAGTTTTATTTAGTGATCGAATAAAATTTTGTCGCTAATTTTAACTAATATTTAGTGACTGAATAGAATTCTGTTGCTAATTTTAACTAATATTTAGCGACCAAATAGAACTATATTGCTAATTGTAACTAATATTTAACGATCGAATTTAAGTTTGTCGCTAAAAAAATTAAAACTTCTGATTTAGCTACCGAATTCAATTTTGTCGCTAATTTTAACTAATATTTAGCGACCAAATTTAATTTTGTCGCTAAAAAATCAAAATTTCTGATTTAACGACCAAATTCAATTCTGTCGCGAAATTTAACTACTATTTAGCGACTGAATTCAATTCGGTCGCTAATTTTAACTAATATTTAGCGACCAAATTTAATTTTGTCGCTAAAAAATCAAAATTTCTGATTTAACGACCAAATTCAATTCTGTCGCGAAATTTAACTACTATTTAGCGACTGAATTCAATTCGGTCGCTAATTTTAACTAATATTTAGCAACCGAATTTAATTCCGTTGCTAAAAAATCAAAATTTCTGATTTAGCGACAGAATTGAATTTGGTTGCTAAATATTAGTTAAATTTAGCGACCGAATTCAATTCGGTCGCTAAATTTAACTAGTATTTAGCACCCAAATTCAATTCCGTCGCTAATTTTAACTAATATTTAGCGACCGAATTAAATTGCATCGCTAAAAAAAACAAAATTTCTAATTTAGCGACCGAAATAGCGATCGAAATTAATTTCGTCGCTAAAAAATTCAAAATTTCTTATTTAGCGACCGAAATAACGATGAATTTTCTAGCATCGACTTATTTTGGTCGCTAAATCGATCGCTATTTTGATTATTCATAATCGGTCGCTAAATCAGTCGCTAAATAGCGACTGATAAATTTCGGTCGCTAATTTCGGTTGCTATTTTACAATTTTCTAGTAGTGAATGCAAGTAGTGAGTCTAGTATATTTTTCCAACCATTGTATGAAGGATGACTAGTCTCAAATCCTTAAAATGACGGGCTTTAACAATCCTCACAATCCAGTATATTCTTCCTTTCTGAGCCCTTGTGAGAATGGAGTGTTGAAAAGTCACCTTCAAGGAATATGATTTATTAGACTTATGCATGAATGTCGAGAATTTCTAACAGAGACTGAATATCTTTTTTTTTTGAAAAGTCCTTTTACTTATTCGAAGGCAAAGGTGATTTGTTGCTCTTAAAGTAGGTGTTCCTTTTCGTAATGATGTGACAAAGGTCACACTAACTAGGGTTTATCAACCTTTGTTAGAAATTCTCTAGTGGTCTTAGGTGATTTATCAACAGGAATACATGAGGTGCATGTCTTTCACTGATGTTTTTTTCGCACTGAATTTTCCCTCGCATGACAATGCATTTTTTTTTAATGTTTTGGGTGTTTTCTTTATTTTAGGGAAATCATTCAAAATAGCAAACAATGTATACAAACAAATACACAAGCATATGCTTAAACAATATACACCCACGAACAATCACGTTCAAATCCATGGGTTGGGGTCCTTGTTCTCATAATTTTTAAAGGCTCCTAAGGTTCCTCCATTATAGGGACCCAATATCTTTGTCGTTGTCAACTAGCAAACGTCGATGGCTTGTCCAAAGTATCGAGCTAGAGTAACCGATTGTCACCTTGAACATGATTTTCGACAATGACCTGTGGGTAGCTAAGACCTTTTCTATGTCCGGTCGTACATCATCCACTTCTTATGATCATCTCTCTTACCCTCGGGTATAGAGGGAACTTGTAGTGTGCAAGGGTTTGTGTATAGTTTATTTCAAATAGTGCAAAAATCTAAACAAACAAGCAGTTATTAAAGCCACAATAAAAGCAAATATTTACAAATAAGGTAAAAAGGATAAAAATTTAATTTCTATTTTTATTATGTTAAATTTATCACTAAATGGGTTTGCCCTTCTTTTAGCTTCCCTAGTGGGGTCACCATCTGTCAGAACTCGAAAAAATTTTGATCTTGCACACAGATGGTTAGAACTTCGTTTTGAAAATCTCATCAACTTTGGAATGCCTTAAGACCATACTAATCTTTCACCGATGGTTTTTGAAAAGGTTCGAAGGAGTCGCCACCGATATTTTTCTCAAAACATCGAAAAAAGAAAAAAGAGTTTTTGAAAAATAGATTATGGCCTTCATAGCCAAAATCAAGTTCGAGGGTCGGTTACGTGTGAGGAAGGTATTAGACACCCCACGACACCTTAACTTGGTACCCTATGATAAATTTAGCATAATAACAATTATAATTAAATCTTTACCCCTTTTAGCCATTTAAACACTTATTATTATATACATGATTATTTATTTATTTATTGCATGGGAATAGAGTTGTGAATAAAACAAAT